CTTTTTAAACAGGCAACACTAATTTTGAACAAATTTTAAACACTCAGGACAAAGATTTTCCTCCAAAGTATAATTCATCACCCTCCTGTTCTCTTTGTATGACATAAACAACAAGCAGTTTCACAGCAATGAGCCAAACCATATGTGAAGGTGTTTTAGAAAGCACAACAGGGAATACACCGAGCAAAGAAGCATCTGCATTTATTTCAATGTCAAATCACATGTGTATTATAAAGGGAAAGTTTATTGTTTTTATTAAAAACCAACTTTACTATATCGTGCTGTTTACAGTTAACTCTTCCTGCCACTCAGTGTCCTCATCAATTTGGGGAAAATAAATAAATAAATCAGCAGGTAAAAGCATAAAGTCTGCAGGTGGAAAGACAGGGTTACAAAGGGGTCTTCAATCCCACCCACCCAACCCAGGCTGGTATATGCTGTCAAGATCCTGTTTCTTCTCCACCTTCCCCTTGCTACCCTTCTCAGACCAAGGTTGCATCTGCTCCTGATGGTTGCAAGTGAGAATCAAAGCCTGGTCCATCCCCAACAGATTCCAGAGGACGAGAATATAAATCTAGGTAGGATTTATTTCTTACTGTCTCCTGTCTCAAGATGCTGTCTGATCCTGCAGCCAAGCTACCATGGGCATTGTGGGGCACTAGGTATTCCCCTACAAAAGGCAGCACCCTACAGTAAATTATTTTTACAGAAGCTGGACAGAGTCAGTTTAACACGTTTGGAGTTCAGGAGAAAATATTTCAAAGCAGCATTTAGCATAGGTATGAGCTATAGGCACATTGTTAAAAAGCTAATTGCATGGAGACAAAGGATGATCGTTACTTTTATATTAATGTGTAATATTAACCCTTAAGTGCTGTTTTTGATAAGTTGTCAGTGATTGAAATTGCTAGCTCTTTATTTATATTTAAACTCAAGCCTGAAGATTCTTAGAATCACAGTAAGTGATATGTCATTATTCTTTTTGCCTTAGGACAGATTAAAGTTTTTGAAATCTGGGACCTTTATCCTATCTCCCATACAACTGCACATAAAAAGCAGTGTTAAAGTGCTGAAGTGCTGAAACTATTTCTCAGATCTGTATTTATTATGCACTTCCAGGAAATCTGGCTTTATTCTATGAAGAACACTATTTTCCTCAAATTTTTCTTGTTTCAAGGAACAGAAGAACAGGGCTAGAAAGCTCCTGGCAGCAGGTTTTGGGCTAACAGGGTCAAAATTCCTCCAAACATTTTTTCTCTCAAGGTTATAGATTTCACCTGTCTTACTTAGACAATAACCACTAAAAAATACTCATGTTCTGCTGCAGGTTACACAGGCTTTTAGTGTCAGCAACACAAGTTTCTGAAAGAAGGGAGGTTCAGAGATGCCGTGGTGCAAGGCATCTTGCTGGGTCAGCTCTCCAGAAAGGTCTACAAAGCACTCAGTGACCATTTAGCAGCTACAGGGCTTTGACCACAGCCAAAACTTCAACAGTATGCACCCCCCTGTAAATGAGTGACCACGGTCGTCTGTTGTCTTAACCTCTTCTCCTTCGCCTTATGTTTTGGACTCATCTCTCCTCTCACCCAATTCACTGGACCAAAGCAAAAGCGTTTCAGCAAGGCTGTACCCAGGCACAAGTCACTTGTGTAGGATGCCTGATCAAAGCTGAAGGCTGCAGGCTTCTGCAGCCAGAATGATCTTTTTATTACATATGTGTATAATGCCCACTGTAAGGAGGTTTGACTATGGCCTACGGACTTGAAACACCACTGTCAAATTAATATGAATGGAAAAGGACAAGCACGCTATAGCAATGGAAAAAAAAAAAACCCAAACAAAAAAATCACAATTATCAGAAAAATATTTGTGATCACAAAAGAGTATTTTGCTCGTACTTGTCAGTCTTCCCTTTGGCAAGCCCTGCAAGAAAAGAGAAGATGAACGAGAGGAAGGAAGAGAGAAAAAAAAATACTGGGAGAACCAAAGAAAGAGAGAGGGGGAAAAAAAAGAGAGACTGAGAGTGGATACTTTTAACTTGTCACAGTACAACACTAGTTTTTAATTAATACAGGATATGTACAACTTTGAAGACTGTTGGTTGTGCAGTATTTTATGATAAATACATTTTATGGGATTTTGTTTTTAAAGAGGATTTTGTGAAATAACCTAGCCCAATAAATGATTTACCAGCTGCAATAAAAGATCAAGGAAATTGCTCAGATTGCATCTTGGAGCATCTAAAAACTCTGAAGTTTATGGAGATCTAAGCTGCCCCCAGATCTACAGTCCTATTAAAAATTTTTGTAGTAGCTAATTATCTTGCATTGCATTTTTTAAAAGGTAGAAATCCTAACAGAGAGGAAGGTCTGGAAAGAGACAAAGAGGAGTTGATGCCCTTTGATGGAGAAAGTAGGAGAGAAGAAGGGAGAAGAGACAGACAGAAGTGAGCAACAACTGAAACATCATGCTGGTATGGTAACAAATGGAACTAACAACTCATAAGGTATTGGATACTCCTTCAGTCACACGGGGAAACTGAATTAACTCTGTTTTAAAAAAATATTATTAAGGAAACATTCTTTACATGGCATGCTAAGTATAATATTTGTATTACTTGACCAAGGGTGGAGTAATTTGTTTTCCTATTTTTTTCTTTCTGACAAAGATAACATTTTACTAGAGGCAAATCAGAAAGCAAAGAAATGCTCTCTAAATTTTGTTTTGTTCTAACCCCATGGGACTTTCACTTAATAAATAAGTAAAAAAAAAAAGTTAAAAAAGCAAGGGCTGATCATTATATTAAACAGGATGGCAAGAGACAGTAAATAGAAAGGCGTACTGAAATAATAAAATACTAGCCTTAGCTGTCTTAGAGGAGGACAGGCAGCACAGTCTCCATGAAGCATGCCTTGTAGCTTTTGTTTTGTGCCAGGAATATTTGGTTTGTGCCCTGTAACTGTGCTCAGACATATCTCTTCCTTCCCAGGGAACACTAGTGAAGCTATTGTTCCCACAGGCATGGGGCTCCAAAGTCAACTGGGCTTCCTAAGAAAGAGTGGGAAAGGGAAAAGGAGAAAAAAAAAAGGGGGAAAAAAGAGGAGAGGGGAAAAAAGAAAAAAAAATGAAAGTAAGAAAGAACCATAATTTTTTTCTTGGTCCCCAAATCAGACAGTAAGGTCTATGCCAACTTAGATAATTGCCTGATCCCTCTGCTCCTTTGGGCACCTTGTGCAATCACAGAGGCTGTGGGCTTCAAAGCCTGGGGCCAGGCTGCCACAGGGACAGTGGTCAGAAACCAGTATGTGCTCCAGGAGAGCTTCAGTGCTCAGGAGGGGTGGACTTGGGCCCCTTTCCCAACACTTTCAAGCTTAACAACTTTGAAACGGATAAAGGGTCAATGCTGCTGACTTTAAACTTTAATTGTATCCCTGTAACTCTGCAAGACCTGGAAGAGAGACAGTGAATTTCACAGCCACAGAAAACAAGAACCTTGAGACAGAAAGGGTTGATGATAATTTGGTTAATTTAATTTGAAAATTGAGGTAGGTAAAATAAAACAGTGGGAGCCAGCAAGGATATTTGGATCAACACTGTTACTCTAAAATTTATTCTTAAATTACAGCCAGGATGAGGGAGTCCTTAATTGTTCAAAATAACCACAATTAATTCAGCAGAATTATGGCACTCTAATTGTGTGTTACTTTTCTGCTTGACTGCTGCCTCCTGCAATACTCAGAGCTGAACACCTCTAGGACTGAGCTCAGATTTCTACAGTGAAAATGCACGTCGTGTCTGTAGGGTGCTTCCCTAACTTTCTGCAAAACTTTAAAGGAACCAAATGCATGTGGCAAGCGAGAACAGGGAATGACAGAACCCATGAGGCTGAGGCTGCTTAGCTTGCCTGATTAGATAATCCTGCTTTCAAATATTTTGGTAGGGAAGTAATTTAAAACCAAATTTTCACAGACATCCACCCTATTCTGATGCTCATTTTCTGGATGCTTTATTTGAAACTCTAGGTGCTGATTTGTAGAAAACTATAGGTACCAGAGATTTACATTACAGCTGTGTTTTGAACATTCAAAAAAAAAACCAGAGCTATGGGAAAGGCTATCAAATAATTTAATTTTTAATTGTTTAATTGTAATTTTATTGTTTCCTACTAAACATGAATAACTGTCCAAATTTTGCAATTACCTAGAAGATTAAATCCCAGGAAAAATAATTATAAGTAAATGAAAATATTTCATTTTGATGCAGTCTTTTTAATTTATCTTTTCATTTTAAGTCATTCCCCACATGTGTATTTTATAACAGAGAAAAGTAATAATATTTAAAGCAACACCCAAGAAAGGTAGTATATGGCTCTTAAAATGCTTAAATAATTTTTCTAGAAATCTTTCATTTTTTCCCCTGACAGCTTCTCAAAGCAATGCAACATTCTCAGACAAAGAAATGTTTCCAAATTTTTTCTAATAAACTTCAACCATAAATAATACTAAGGGATCAAAGAAAATCCAAGTCTTTGGTCACTTACAAGTGCTAGAAATATCTTGTCTTATATTCCTGTCTGTGAAGGTGAAATAACATCTCTTCCTTACTTCACAATGATTTTGTGAAGAAAAAGGATCTCTTATTTGTAAAGTTCTATTAGGAAGGCAAGTACAAAGAAATCAGTAATTCTGAATTCCAGGCAGGGTCTGCATGTTGTAAGTCAGTCCAGGGCCCACAGCAACCAAGGAGCATAAAATAAAATGCTTTATATTCACACAAATCAATAGCACACACACAGAAAAATGAACTCTGTAGAACAATAGCACGTGAGGTCATAATCCTAACACAAAGGGCACAAACTGGCCTTGCTTAGGTAATCGTCAACCTAAATTGTCAACCAAATCCTGCATTGGATTTTGCAGCCTAATAGCATTCACCTGAATGCAGATACCTCTATAATAAAGGAATAACAAGGTATACTTTGGGATGCTGAGATTACTTACCACACAGAAAAAGTGTATTTCTCTAACTCCTCCAAGTGAAAATTGCTCTTTGCAGATGCTTTCCCTTCTTCTGGACTTTCATTGTTCCCCAGACCAGATTTTTCTTGATAACATTGGTCAGGTGGGTTATTCCCATTTATCTTTAAAGGGAAAGAAAAAACAAGTTAGAATAGTAAGGTAATTAGCTAGGCACAGCTAGCAAAGTAAGAGCTTATAGTTTCATCTTGTTTTGAACTTCTAGCTCTGTTTTACTCCTCACTCTATGACAAACCTGGAAAACAGCAGTGGCAAAGCTGGCTCAAAATGCTTACGAATAGAATAGACTATTTTAGTTGGAAGGGATCTAAAATGGTCATCTAGTCCAACCACCTGACCAATTCAGGGCTGAACAAGTTAAAGCATGTTAAGGGCATTGTCCAATGCCTCTCAAACACTGACAGGCTTGGGATATTGAACATGACCCCAGGAAGCCTGTTCCAGTGTTTGCCCACCCTCTCAGTAGATAAATGCTTCCTCATGTGCATCACCTCCCATGATGCTGATTTGAGCCATTCTCACATGTCTTGTCACTGGATCTCAGGGAGAAGAGCTCAGCACTTCCCTCTCCCCTTCCCTCCTCAGGAAGCTGTGGAGAGCCATTAGGTCACCCCTCAGCCTCCTTCTCTCCAAACTAGACAAGCCCAAAGTCCTCAGCCTATCCTCAGAAGACATGCCTTTTAGCTCCTTCACCAGCTTTGCTGCCCTTCTCTGGATGCATTCCAGAATCTTTTAAAATTGTGTGGCCCAGAAATGCATGCAGAGTATCATTCAGTGAATTGATTTATGTTCCTATATGGCTGTGGTTTGACAAACCCTCTCATAGAGGTGTTAAGCTCATACTGACACCAGAAGTCATCCAGCCTTCCTCTACCTGCTTGCTTTTTCCTCTGTTGCACACCACACTCTGTCAGCACAAAAATTTGGACATCCACGTAGTAAAACATACAGAGGGATCTGATCTGGGAAGGGAATCAATGCTGTTTGGCCTTTTTGTTTTATTTTCCTTTTATTAACTGGGTTAACTCTCAGCTGGACCCATTTTGATCCAGGCCACGCTGCACTGGTGCCAGCACAAGGGAGGAGGAGGACAGTACTGCATCTTTCAGTGCTGGTGCCAATTTATGCTCATTTGAACTACTCTTTGATCTAGAAAGTACAGAATCCTGCTCTGTGTTCATCTCTGCAATAACATTTTTGCACACATGGGGCCTGATTTGGCACCAGCATCACCTCTCTCTGGAGTAACGAGCAGGTTCCTTGCACACTTGATTTTACCGCCCCTGGACAAAGCACCAAATATCTCTTCAACCAAGAGACACAAGGTCATAATTGACCAAACAGACATCCACAGGTGACTTCATGAATCTATCTAGTAATACCTTCCCAGGCTCTACACCAAACTATGTAAAGGGTTTGTTAACATTTAGTGAACAAGCCCAGAGAGAACAAAGGGATGGAAGTTAAAACCAGTTATATTCAAACTAGAAACAGGACTCCCTTTTTTTGTTCTTTCTTTTAGATGGGGAGGTGGAAAGGGTACAGTTTAGAGGTAACCACAAAGGGAAATTTTGTTTCTCCACCCCTTGATGCCAATTTTATGGACCAAGTAGATAAATTTTTCTACTGCGTATATATACTAGAAGCTAACCCAAATGATTTAAGGTCCTTTTTGACTTTTGCATTTATGAAATCTGTAATGAACAAAACATCCAAGTTTGCTTTGTACATCTGTTTTGGTTTTGCTAGGATAGAGTTAATTTTCTTCTTAGTAGCTAGAATAACTGTGTTTTGGTTTCAGTATGGGATTCCCTATGAGAAGAATGTTGATAAGGTACTGATGTTATTAGTTGCTGCTCATCCAAGATCATCGTGGTTTTTTGCTAGTTTGCAGGTGCGAGGAACTGGCAGGTGGGAAGAGTAGTAATTAGCAAAATCCAAAGTTGGCATTAGGATATAGAATCATAGAATGGTTAGGGTTGGAAGGGACCTTAAAGATCATCCAGTTCCAACCCCCCTGCCATCAGCAGGGACACCTTCCACTAGACCAGGTTGCTCAAAGCCTCATCCAGCCTGGCCTTCAACACTTCCAGGGAGGGGGCATCCACAGCTTCTCTGGGCAACCTGGGCCAGTGTCTGACCACCCTCACAGTGAAGAATTTCTTCCTAATATCTAATCTAAACCTACCCACTTTCAGTTTAGAGCCATTTCCCCTTGTTCTATCATTAACTGGCCTTATATATGCTAATGAGCTATTCCATATCATATCACATCAAGTTCAGTATACTAACCAGGGTTGACCAGAAAGCAGGGGGAGTCTTTAGGGCTCACTCTTCCAGGATTGCTGTTTTGGGACTGTCTCTGCTCTGGGATCACTGGCTGGTGACAGGCTGGGCATCGATTGGAGAGTGATGAGCAACTGCACTGTGCATCACTCATTTGCATATTCTGTTATTACTCTTATTATTATTATTTTATTTCAATTAGTAAATTGTTTTTATTTCAACCCATGAGTTTTCTCACTTTTTACCCTTCCAATTCTCTCCCCTACTCCCTGGGGGCCAGGGAGGGTGAGGGAGCAACTGTATCTGGCTACAAGCCAAAGGAGTCAAACCATCACAACATCTCAAAAAATTCTCAGAGTTTCGAGGGAAGACAGCATTGGCATTAGAGCTAGTCACATCACTGTATATTTTGCTAAATATGAAAACTATAGAGATTTTTTTTTTTTAACTCTGTAAACCATTTTGCTGTAAAAGGCAAAATTGTATTCTGAAGCGTGGATTACACAGACCTCATCCATATTTTGAATTTTAATTTAAGGCTCATGGACATAACAGAGGTGCATATCCATACCTACATAATGCTAAATATGGTTATCAGTAAACATGATACAATCATCATATTTTCAGGGGTCATTGGAAAAGCTGCCACAAGCAATGGAATATATTGTCAAAAAACGATTTTATGTAAACATGAATAGTTAAGGCAGAGTAGAAGTGGGTAGTGTGCTCAAAGCTGTTTTCAAATAGTAAGACCAGGCAGCTACAGATAGCATTGCATTTCACCTGGCCACATAACTGCCCAACTTAATTCCCTAGAAAAAGTCAACGTTTCAAAGTAGGTAGGGAGTACAAAGTAACCTGCTTGCACTGACCTTGTCACCATGAAACTATCCCTGTGCAAACTAGATATAAAATAATATTTAACACAGAAATTCTAAAAGCATTAGAGTATTATGAGTTCATTTCTCTAAGAGTGTTTGATCTTGTCTGAAGTACAAAAGCAGAACCTCAGTCATCTGCGTGATGGTGGCATTATGGTCACAGAATATATTTTGCTTCTCTCAGAAGTAACTGACCAGGAGCCTTAAATAAATGCAATGGTGTACACACTCATTGCAACGAAAACTAAGTTGTCATTAATGCACACCACCCAGAAGATACTCAGTGGGAGACTATTTGCAACTCATTAGCACAGATACTCCTGGAAAAGCTGGCAGCCCACGGCT